CATCCAGATGTGAGCTAAACTTAATGCTAAAAATATTGTACAACATCACAAAACCCCGTCTGGAATGGCTCAGAATGGTCAAACCACACGGAAATGTTTAACATGAGTCAAATATGTCTGAACTGGTAAAAACCTGTCCAAAGGGAAGGATCAGTAACTTAGACCAAATGACTCAAAACTCTCATCTGACTGAAAATGGTCTAAAATGACCTCAGAGCTGTTCAAGATGAATTAAAAAACATGACTCTAGATTGTCAAACATGTCTTCTGTCAAGAGCAACATCAAAATGTGAGCAAAACAGAGGATTTCTTTTTTTAAACTTTACAGTTTTTGTTTTGTTTTTACAGATTTTGCCTGTTTTGTTAAATTACAGATAAAATGTAGTTTAAATATTATACATGTTCACCATAAGAACAAAAAAAGGGCAAAACGATAATTTAATTGTATTTAATTCAGCAAAAATGAGTATTTGACAGATATGAATGAGTTAAAAAGTGATAAATAACTCTTTTAAACTGGTATTTTGTGGATCAGTTATACTGAAGCTCTGTCAGAATGGATTTATACGTTACTCACCTGCCACAACGAGCTGCTGCTGCTGCTGCTGGTGTCACCGGTGTGACAGGTTTTGCTGCCAGATTTTCACTTTGTTGTTGTGGAATGCTTTTTGTTTTTTATTTTTGACAGTCTGTAATCATAAACCTGGGTCTGGTGCTGCTGTGGATCGTCCTCTCCAGACGGTGTTCATGTCGACTCGAGGAGCTGAAGTGGCTGCAGAGCGAATGAAGGGAGGCTCGAGGACAATCGCCGCCTTCTTCTGCTCACATCAAAGTGAGTCCGAAGCAGCTCTGAGGGCTGCTGCCGTTTGTTCTCCCACCTTTAACCTCCGTCACGACCAGGACGCTGCTGCAGCCGCGTTCCCCAACAAAAGCTTCAAACGGCGAGCAGCAGCGATGAGGAGGCTCTCAGAGTGCAGATTCACACGGGGTCCTGACAGACTGGGGTCCATCCAGGCGCCGCCGGCTTCATGTCTTTATTATCTGGAACCCAAAACTGAGTCTGTGAAACATTTTGGCTGAATTTGAGGGAATTTCTGATCTTTTCAGGTCTGTGAATTCTTGTTTTTTCGTGTTTTAGGCATCTTCAGTCTTTACTGTCTCCAGAAACAGCCCAGAAATGTGGCGACAGAATGGATCCAACAGAGGACACATTTTAAATCACTGGGCCTTGAAAATGGAAAAAGGTTTGGGAACCAGAAAGTTCCTGTCAGTGTCTATCTATGGATGGATCCATGGTTCTACTAGAACCCAGTCTCTGGATGGATCCATGGTTCTACTAGAACCCAGTCTCTGGTCACATCTCACCACCTGTTGAGGCTCTAACATCAGTAGAACCTGATGTGGTGAAGTTGGACCAGACAAGGTTCTGGTTGTACATGTTTAGACTAAATGTTGATGTGGATCATTGGTGGGAACCAGAACCTGGAGTTCACAGGTTCTAGATGTTGGTTCTAGGTGTTGGTCCAAGATGTTGATTCTAGATGTTCGTTCTAGGTGTTGGTTCTAGATGCTGGTTCTAGGCGTTGGTCCTAGACGTTGGTTCTAGATGTTGGTTCTATGTGTTGGTTCTAAATGTTGGTTCTAGATGTTGGTTCTGGATGTTGGTTCTTGGTGTTGGTTCTAGGTGTTGGTTCTAGGTGTTGATTCTAGGTGTTGGTTCTAGGTGTTGGTTCTAGGTGTTGGTTCTAGNTACATGGATAGAGCCCATTTCACCTCGGACAACCAGCCAACCACGATCAGAGAATGAAGACACCTGTTCTGTGGTCAGTTGGACGTGATAAAGGTTCACTGGGGTCAGTCATGGCCGGCAGGAGCAGCTACCTTCTTCTACTGAGGGAACTCTGTCTAGTTATTGTTTTCCAGAAGCTCTTCCATTGTAACCTGTGGCTGCTTCATAACTTAGCTGCTAGCTGATAGCTGTTAGCTGCTAGCTGCTAGCTGTTAGCTGTTAGCGTAGCGTTTCCTGGTTTGTGACGACAGCTTGTGTTTCTTGTTTAGTTCTTGCAGGTTGTGTCTCTGCTAAAGAGACTTTTCTGAGACCACAGACAGACAGAGAGAGGCATCAGGCCTGAAATAGTGTGTTTAATTCAGCAACAATCAGTTCATACGAACAACAATAGCAGTTACCAGAACAATGCCAAATATCTGCACCGATGATCAGTCTATCCCTGGTACGTGTCATTCAAGTAAGATTTCCTTGGAGACAAAAACAGCATGTTGTAAGTTTTCAGCCTTCAAATGTCACATTAATGCCCGTAAAGATGCACTTAGAACCACAGCGGGTCTGTATGTTCATCACGTCTGTCTCAGAGTGTTTCTGATGTGGAAGAAGACCATCGATGCTAAACAGAAGACACTGAAGGAACCTGGACTCACCAGCACTCTCCAGATTCTGCCCAAGAGAGTGAGGAATGAAGGAGAAACAGTTACTGACGATGGCAGAACATTCATGGTACCTCCTAGAACTGTCCTTTGATTTGGAAACATACAAAAAGAGCAGATCTATAGAAAACAAAGGGTTTGCTACGGAGTGTTTCCCTCTGTGTGTCTACTAAAGACGTTTGTGTCCAGAAGATGCTTGTTGTGTGTGAACAATGCTCATGTGTCTGTCTTTAAATGAAACTCTCACCTGTCTCTGTCAGCAGGTGGGACTGAATGAGTCATGATGGATGCTCAGGACTGAAAGCCAGCGTTGACCACAGACACTCCAGAGATCCTGTGTTGTCCTGTGATGGGATCCCAAAGAAACCTGAGGACCTCCTCAAAGTATTTGCAGATAGAAAACAAGCTTGTCTCTCATTTATTTATTCCATTGTAGTCAACTGTAAAACGGTGTATATCCTGTGCTTCTTCTTTTACGGTTTGTTGCACTCAAACGTTACTTTATGAGAGTTCTTACGTTCTCTGGTCTCGGCTGGTTTGTTTTAGGGGCTTCACTGGTGTTAAAGTTCAGCTGTGGAAAGGTTCAAGGATATTTATTGTCTTTGCATTTCTACAACAACTGGCACTTTCAAAAACAACAACAGAGGCTACAGCTCTGGGAAAAGCTGTTCCTGAGCCCGCTAGTCCGAGTTCTGATGGCTCGGTACCTCCTCCCTGACGGCGGCGGCACAAACAGGAAGTGTCCTGGTGGCTGATGTCCATGCAGATGGCCCATGCTCTTCTCTGCCAAAGTCCAAGTCCAGGAGCTCGGCTCCCTCAATCTTCTGGGCCACCTTCACCACCCGGGACAAATCTGGTCTGTGTTTTGCTGTGCAGCCAGTGGACCACATGGTGCAGCCCGAACAGAGGATGCTCTCGATGGTACTGCTGTAGACGTTCCTGAGCAGTCGTGGAGTGCTGAAAGAAAGAAGGCGTCTAAGGAGAAAAACGAGACAGTGAGAAGACACACTTCCTAAAGGTTAGTCAGTATGTTGTCCTCACTGAAAGCTGTTGCACCGTATCTTCAGCCTTCACGTTCTCCAGCGCTGCATCCTCCAAGGAACAGGCAGGTTGTTGTGTTTGGCAGAATTCAATCAGGAGAATATTTAACTCCTCGTAAAACTGCAAACAAGCACTAAACATGTCAGAGAGCTCCATAATATCTGTAGTACATTAGTGGAGAAAAGATAAACTCATGTGAACAAATGCTTGAAGTTAACATAAGACAGAAATACAGCCGTAAACATTTACACTGAACTGAAGCATCCGTCTGTAACAACTAACCAAAGCTACTGAACTCAACCCAGGTAGAAACAGGATGACGTAACTGTAGGTACCTGGTGACTTATGGATGAAGCTCTGCCATTTTCAGATCACATGACCAAAGAACTTCCTGTTTGTAGCACACTTCCTTTTTAGTGCTGCTACTACCACCAGGTTGTGCTAACAAAAGGAAATAAACTCATGTTGAGTACAGTTAGGTTCCCCTTCATGTTGGAAGTGTTGCTCTGTCCTGTTGAACTTCACTTTGCTCAGTTTTAACCATCAACCCACACATGGAAGTAAATTTCAGGTGTCGTGAGCAAAGCTGTTTGCATTAGTTCTGGTTCTCCTTTACCATGGGCACAAGATGCTGGAGTGAAAGCAAGTTCTCATGATTGGCTTGAACTTGATTTACCCAGTGTTGACTTTACACCATCCTGAGATGGTTTCTGGAACATTTGGGTCAATCTTCTCCAGAATTACATGTCACAAGTTTCCAGGAACTTTGGGGAAACCTTGGTACCACCTTAAAGATTTTCCCCTTTTAAAGAGCAGATTAAAGTGCTCATGTGCTAGAACTAGTTGGGGTCATGCAACTGCTGCTCTCTTGAAGAGCAACTAGAGAAAGGTCCAGTGTGAGAGATACCTTCAGCAATGAACAGAACCCCAGCCAAAGGAGGTGGGGGGGGTTCTGGATGTAGTCAAGCTGCAGAATCAGGCTAACCAGGTCAGTGGGGTTAAGTATACTACAAAAGGTGCTCAAGAGTCAACTGCATTTGGGCCAAAACAAGAGTTCTTTCCAGACGATCCTCCAGTTCCCCTCTAAACTGTTGAGATGCAGGAAGACCTTCGAGTCCCCTGAAGTTTTGAACCACAACAGAAGAAGCTCTCTTGGAAAACTTCAGCTGCATTACTAGAGTAAAACATGTAAAGAGTTACAGTTCAACCTCAAAGCCTTCACGGCAGTTAGAGTCAGACACAGAATTCAGAGTCATGGTTTAAAGTTTATTCAATGTAAGTTGTTGGTTCTTGGAGGTTCTGCTGATCAGCTTCACCTGCAGAGACAAACAAACACGTCAGTCACTGAACCAGCAGGTTCTTCTACACGTCATGTTGCAGCTGCTTCTCACCTCCTTAGACCTTCTTCCCTACGGGTCCTATTGTTGGAACTGCTGGGTCCACCGGCGGGTAGAACGGGCCGAAGTCATCCGGGTCGTATTTGGAGTGGGAGAGGACTTCTCTGGCTCGCTGGTAGCCGTTGCTGGACTGGACCAGGTAAGACGTAGGACCCCGGACAGGGGCGGGAAGGGAGCCCACCGGAACTCCATCAGGGAGCCAGGCTGAGGGGTCTGGGAGCCGGAAATATGGGTTTGGGCTCAAGTCCCTCAGAGAGTAGTAGAACCCCTTTGGAAACCCAAGCCAAGGAGCGTATTCTGCACTACCGAAGGGATAAGAACCACTGTAGAAACCAGCGCTGCCGCCAACACCTCCAAAGCCACCAGATCCTCCAAAGCCACCAGATCCTCCAAAGACACCAGATCCTCCAAAGACACCAGATCCAGATCCTCCAGAAGAACCTCCTCCAGAGCCACTAGATCCAGATCCTCCTCCAGAGCCACCAGATCCTCCAGAGCCTCCTCCAGAACCTGTTTGACCTGAACCCAGACACAAAGCAAACTCGTGAGAGCTGCTGCAGCTCCAGTTGAAGTCACATTATGAACAGAACCATGTTGGGTTTGGGTCAATAAGACAGAACCAGCAGCAGATTAAACCTCTCAGAGCTGAAACACTGAGCTCAGTCCTGCAGGAGAACCAGAGCCAAACCAGGACTCTGGACTGCTGCCAGACTCATGTAGCATCAGCAGCTCAGCAGGAATCCAGGTGGAGCTGCTGCAGCCGCCTTCACACACACTGAGCATCATCTGAAGCTGCTGCAGGTGAACACATGCCCACAGACTCACCTTTAATTATGAAAGGGTAGCCAGCTCCAGAGCCCAGGAGCAGGAGGCAGATCCAGGAAACCCTGTGGAGAGCAGAGAGCAGCCGGTAAGTACGAGCACATGGAAGCCGAGCTGAAGCGTGAAGCGGCGCAGCTCACCTGAGAACAGATTCCAGCAGCATGTCGAGTCGTGAGAAGAAGCCAAGGCCACAGAGGTCAGCTCCAGCAGGTTGATCAGCAGTGAGGAGGCTGCTGCAGACAGAAGCTGTGGTCTGGAGCTGCAGCTGCTCTGCTTTTAAACCAGAGCTGCACCTCCAGCAGCTCATCACACTCATTCAGCTCACCTGGTGAGGCAGGTGAGGCCGTGCTGCGTTCAGGTGGCCTCCGACATTCAGCGCAGAGCAGACAGATGGAGCTCTGCTGACACCTTCTTCTTCTCCATCATAATTCAATGACGCTGTTCTTTGCTTCTTGGTGGTCTCATGTTGTATATTATGCTGTAAAGAACTTTGTAACTGTGGTGAAGAAAATAAAGTTGACCTCCTGACCTGCTTCTCTTCTCATTTCTATCTTCTACGTGTGGACATGAATGATGACACGTCTTGTTTACATACAGACAGGTGAGGAAGTAAAGCAAGACCCTGAACGCCTGAGCTGAGAACAGATTGGTCCTCACAGGTGAACTGCAGCTGCAGTGAAGGAGACACTGAACAGGTGAGCAGAGTGAAACAGAAACCAGATCCAGTCACACTCCATTTGTTTCTCATGTGGAACCCAAAACCAAGCTGTGTGAAATATCTGGGCAGAACTTCCACAGTGTCATGTTTGTAAGTCTGAGATAAAGCTGTGAAGGTTCAATATCTCCAGAAATAAAAGTCCACCAGACATGACACCTGGTCAGAACACAGACTGGAGAGTTTCCAGGAGCTCTGTGGAGCCTCAGCAGGAACCACTGTGAGAACGTGGAGCTCAGTCAGAACACTGGGATGGACAGAACCTGCATTAGAACCAGCTGACTTTACAGTGACGACATCCAGAACCTGTGAACTCCAGGTTCTGGTTCCTACCAATGATTCACATCAACATTTAGCCTAAACATCTAAAAACTTTGTCTGGTCCAACTTTACCACATCAGGTTCTACTGATGCTAGAGCCTCAGCAGACTGTGTCGTCATGGTAACCTAACAGGAAACATGGGTGAAGGATTTCCAGTGTGGTGATGCTTTGACTACATGCTGATGTGGACTCATGGACAGACAAGAGACAACAACCTGCCAGACCTCTGGAGGTCCACCATCTCATATCTGTCTGTGGTTTTGTTTTTATTTATTTGCCTTTATTTAACGGACGTCCCCCTGAAATTAAAAACCTCTGAAAGCCTCCGAGGTAGCAGCCACACCATCAGGAGCTGATCTGAACCAGACACAAGATGCACAAATAACCAACGAGCAGTGAAACGATCAGGACAGCCTTCTGTACGCTGCTTACAAACATGACACTGTGGAAGTTCTGCCCAGATATTTCACAGAACTTGGTTTTGGGTTCCACATGAGAAACAAATGGAGTGTGACTGGATCTGGTTTCTGTTTCACTCTGCTCACCTGTTCAGTGTCTCCTTCACTGCAGCTGCAGTTCACCTGTGAGGACCAATCTGTTCTCAGCTCAGGCGTTCAGGGTCTTGCTTTACTTCCTCACCTGTCTGTATGTAAACGAGACGTGTCATCATTCATGTCCACACGTAGAAGATAGGAATGAGAAGAGAGGCAGGTCAGGAGGTCAACTTTATTTTCTTCACCACAGTTACAAAGTTCTTTACAGCATAATATACAACATGAGACCACCAAGAAGCAAAGAACAGCGTCATTGAATTGTGATGGAGAAGAAGAAGGTGTCAGCAGAGCTCCATCT